ATTAGCATAGTTAGGATATTCATTCTCTGACGAGCTTCACTCACTATTTGTCGAAGGCTTCAAACGAAGAAACATTTGTAATATCAAACACGAGCTACAAGTTTATGATTAGGGGTCCGGTTTTCTGAAGAGGTCTCTTACAGCTCCTTAACTCCGCCGACAATTAGTGAAGAAATGCTAGTTACTACAAGTATTACAATAACTTTTATTACTTATTACTATTTTATCTCACGTCAGTTAATAGTAGCGGCTACAATTCATATGATATTTAACTAGGCAGTGACGGACGGAATCTTTATCATTTCTCGTTCTGGCTACTCTCTTCGACATCATGGTTGAACTAGTTTACAATTATGCAACCTCAAGTTGTGCTAATTATTTTCAAAGTTACATCGCACACAAAAACAGGTGAAAAGAAAAGTATTAAAACAGCCGATGGGAAAACTCTGACACAGGCGAAGGAGCAAGCACTGACACAGACGAAGGGAAAACTCTGACACAGGCGAAGGAGAAAGAACTGCATGACGCAGACGAAAGGGAAAGAACACCAAATAATAATAATAATAGCGGTTTCAGCGTCTCGTAGACCGTAGGCCTGTCGCCGATTCTTAACATCGCAGAACATTCACAGCATTTTGCGGTCTCGAACTCACAACACACTGCTACAATTCTGCTGTGCTTAACCGCCCGGCCTAGGTGAAACCCGAGCCGGTGCCACCTCCGAACGAGTGAAATATGAAGAACCCCTTCGAGTACATATTTAGTTAGTTAGTTCTAGCGATATCAGAGTTGATAAGGCAATTTATACCTGATTCTCATTCTAAACATTGCAGAATTTCCACAGCTTGTCGTAGGACTCGAACCCACAACTCACTGCTCCAGTCATGGTACTCTGAACTGAAGCCACAGGACCACTTTGCATTTGCATTTAATTATCATTAAATTAACATCAATAGTAATTATTAACAATTTTTGACGATGGGAGCTCGTAATTTGTGATATCATTATTAATTAAAAGTTTTTTTCCCCCAAAGAAATGTAACATAAATAAAAGGGGATGGAAGTTCAGAATTCACAAATGTGCCCCAGGTAGAAATGAACGTTTTATAATAATGTAATATCATAATAATCGAAAAGAAAATCAAACTACGCGATCGAAGCAACAAAAAATAATTATAAACTATTGCAGTTAATTATACACAACATATAACACACATAAACGTATGCAAAACTTATATAAACAAAATATTTCACCTGCAATCCCGAGCACGCTTCTGATATTTTATTAATGCGCGCCATGACTCCGTCGATGATCTCCTTGCCGATGGTGTAGTGACCGCGAGCGTAGTTGTTGGCGGCGTCCTCCTTGCCGGTGATGAGCTGTTCAGGATGGAAGAGATCCTTGTAGATGCCATTGCGTACTTCATCTGCAATAAGACATTGATGCATTAAATTTTCCGCCAAGAGATAAAGTTAGAATGATATTGAACACCTGCTATATTTTATTATTTTTCGACCTCAATGCTAGCAGCGCCTCTTCTCTATTGGTGTTGTATGCGTTTCGCACGGCGCCTGCTAAGTAGAAATCCGTTTGATATCCAATTTATCTTGAAAATTTTGTGATAATTGTATAAGAACTCACCAATTACGCTAGGTTCTAAGTCAATCATGACAGCCCTCGGCACGTGACGACCGGAGTCAGTTACGTTGAAGAACGTTTCATAAGAACTGTCCGCAAAAGACGCCTCTTCGTTAACCCTTCCATCGGGTCGTATGCCGTGTTCAAGACAATACAACTCCCAGCAAGAATTGCCCATCTGCACACCAGCTTGCCCGACATGGATGCTGATACATTCTCTCTGAAAAGAACAGTTAATTAATTATTACTAATCTCAACTGAGTAGAGGAATCATTTATTAACAATGTAACTATGAGCTAAACAGTCTCAGACGCACTGAACACGTTTAAAGCTGCGTACATAATAAATTATGGGCATTGGTCGATTTTTCACATAAAGATCATTAGCAATCAATGGCATAAAAAACAATACTTCAGTTAAAATTCGAATCAATGTGAGCGCGTACCGGCATTGTATTAGTTTGCTTAGGTAGGTGTTTGGATGTTCTATTTTCCTAGGGTTAAAAATATTAAGGAGTCTAACCCGGGAGCGATCAATGCTTCTCCTGCAGTGCAGACAACATGCAACTCTATGATAATAAAAAACTTCACGGTGTATTGTACTGCAGAAGGGATTTCGATGATTCATTATTGATTAGATCGTTGATTATAAGTGGTTCTTTCATTGTCACTGATTAGGGAAAGAGGGAGGATATGGGCGTGATTGAGATAAGATAAAAAAGTTATTTATTGCTAACCCTAAATATTTGTGCTTTGAAAACAATATGTACAAAAATTTGTCCGCATCAAGTCTAAACATCGATGTAGATGCAATTTGCAGAAGTTTAGTAGTGTTGATGTGATAACTTCCGCATCGAATAAGGCTCGAATAAAGGAAAGTCTTTTAAAACGTGACCATTGCATTGACAAAACTTTTTTATTTTTTTCTAAAATAATGTAAAAGAGAACGTAAAATATGAACCTGCAAGCTATTTATCTCAAATATTTTCATTAATCGAAAACTCGATGAACGCCACAGCTGATGGCAAACTGGCAGTTGCTGCTTGAAGTTGAGGAATAGTTTCGTTTTGTTACGCTCGATTTGCCAATATCCGTAACAGTGGTAACACACATACCACAGGTTTTGGCTGTTAGGTTTTTGATAATCATCAGAGTAAACTCACTTGCGTACTTGTATTTCTGGAGTGTGACGGTGTGACCTCAATTTGTCAATAATTATTCATATTCATTTGCCAAGGTTATCGTTTCCGAATTTCTGTATAGCCTACTCTTGGCGCAACTTGCTCTGACTTGTTAGGCTATGAGACTGCACTGCATTGTGACTGCAATATAGCCTATTTCCAATCTGTAACCCTATTAGTGAGTGGTGTCTGTTCTCTGTTGTGCATTGCGTCATTTGCGTGAAACGATGATAAGCATGTATAAAAATGGCTGAAATTTGATGGTGTACCTACCATGAGGGCAATGAGGCATGGGTGAACAGGAATATTAGGCAAATTTACCTTGTATGAGAATAATGATTATAATGGGATAATTAATTGTGTTGTGGCTACTGGCTTGTAGTTGTGGGCAAAAATATTTTATAATATTACTTGTTTTAATACCAAGTGCCCTCTTTTTGTAGGTATTCTGTGCTAAACTCAAAGTCAACCTCCACCTGCCAGTGCTAGGGTGCCGACTGCAGAATACAAGCAAATATCTGAAGAATGAAGATCATTGCCATTTGTGAACCATTGGATTGGCCATTATTAGCCATCAGTCCATCACCATCAAAATCTTGAAAATTTTAATTTATTTTGGAATTTAGGTATTTACAAAAGACTTTAGTCTTTACCAACTCTTTAGAGTTTAGACACCTCATGACAGACTCAACCACGCTAGATCATTAGATGTATTTCTGTCAAGTCAAGAAATCTTGAAGGTTTAGCCTAGTTCTGGGCTTATGCCGGCAAGTGAAAACAAATTCTCTATAGTTGATAAAGTATAATATTAAAAAATTAGGTGATGCTTTAGAATTTAGATTAAGTGCATTCTAAAAAAGGGTGTTTTTTTTTAATTATATGTTTTTTGGGATGTAGCCATACCCACTACCCAGGATGGTGCCATTTTACGCGGATTAATCCGGCATAAACGAGGCTCCAAGCCCTTCTACTGGCTTACAACGTGGTGTACAAAGAGCTAAAATAACTTTATTGGTGCACACGCCCGGTGTACGTCTGCATCTGGTTTTTAGCATTTTAGTGCATACAAATGCATTTTAAGGCAATTTAGGGCCTTCTAATGCGATCTAGTGCGTTCTATTACGATCTTGTGCCTTCTAATGCGATCTAGTGCCTTCTAATGCGATCTAGTGTGTTCTAATGCGATCTAGTGTGTTCTATTGCGATCTAGTGCGTTCTATTACAATCTCGTGCCTTCTAATGCGATCTAGTGCGTTCTATTACGATCTAGTGCGTTCTATTACGATCTAGTGCCTTCTAATGCGATCTAGTGCGTTCTATTACGATCTAGTGCGTTCTATTACGTTCTAGTGCCTTCTAATGCGATCTAGTGCGATCTTATGCCTTCTAATGCGATCTAGTGTGTTCTATTGCGATCCTGTGTCTTCTATTGCGATCCTGTGGCTTCTAATGCTATCTAGTGCCTTCTGATGCGATCTAGTGCGTTCTATTATGATCTAGTGCCTTCTAATGCGATCTAGTGCCTTCTAATGCCATCTAGTGCTTTCTAATACTGCTGATAATACCCTGATACTGGCTGAAATAAATGGTGTTTCAATTGAAGATCAGCAGGATAATGAACAAGAGCGTGACACTAATCAGTTAATATGGCCTTTCACTGACGCCACTAACCAATTGAAGTTCTTGGATACTTCGGACCTTGGTAAGATAAAATTGTATTGTATATATTCTATATATGTAACTCACCAGGCAACTTATGTTGAAATAATGTTGATTAAGTTGTTTTAACTATCTATCTATCTATCTATTCGTAATACACGTTGTTAACACATGTTTGTTATGCTGTTGTGACTACATAATTGATCTTAAAATAAACGCAGTTGAAACATGAAAAAAGTAAAAAGATTGAAGATAACTGATTTTTAATTTAAGATCAATAATTATTGATATTAAAATAAACACAGAGAAATAAATGTGTAATGTTGTCCAAATAGTGACCAACTTTCTGCTTGTATGATAATATGTGTTATTGATCAGAACGCAGCAACTGGATGCAGTTCGTGGTTCTGACAGTGTTCTTGTATGTTATTCACTTCATAAAATATTCTATTCTTCAGAACACAGCAACTGGATGCAGTTCGTGATTCTGACTGTGTTCTTGTATGTTATTCATTTGATAATATGTGTTATTCTTCAGAACACAGCAACTGGATGCAGTTCGTGAGACCAGCTGAGAGCGTCAGTGCTGCCAACTGTCGCGTCGTGGAGCGTCACCCTGGCCACATCTTCTTCATCACCACCACGGAGCTGCCGCCCCATACTGAGCTCAGAGTCGCGTATGTATATAATAATTATAGTCTATGTGTGCCATATGTCTGCCATATATGTAATATATTGCATGATGAAATGGTTAATTTTCGAGAATTCAAGGAAACAGTTGGGAAATGTTATCATGATGACTTTGTAAAAATTGCTTAGGAGCTAAAAAAAATTATTGCAATTAATTCTGTTGTAAGAACTGATGTATATTCCTTTAAATTATAAATAATAATAATAATAGATTTTTTTTTATTTGTGACAGATATTCTTTATTATTTTTGTTGCTGATAAAATAGGTAATTATAAGCATTCCCTAGGTCTTTCACTACGTAGATACCAGAACTTATTGTGAACCATCCTTGTAATGTTTACAGATACTCTGAGCAGTACGCCGAGCGCTACAACTTGCCTCTCCCGGGTCCATTAGCTCCTAATCTTCTCGGTGAGATTTGGACCAACCATTCATTTCCAGGATTTTAATTCATTTATTTAAATTTATTTCAATGATTTGAAATTAAATCCACATTAGTGTTCTAATTCAAAGCCGTGTTGTATTCCAATACAGCTCACACAGCAAACGGAATTTGAACACGTGGATGACGGCATTACGTATCAGTATAATTTGAAGCGCGGACGGAATACGCCTCACCACGTGCCAAATATTGCCACACACGGTGTCGGAATATAGGGATTTGGTAGGTTTGCATTCTAAATGCTTTTAAATAAATCTGGCAACATTTTGTGACGTTTCATCGTTGCTGGCGCGTAGTACGGTGTTTTGCAAGTCACGTAAAGCCAACAGAACTCGAGTAACGCATACGGTTATTTTTTTATATTTTTTCATTTCTCGATGCGTCCTTAATGTGTCGGAATATACCGTGTTTACCCTACATTAGATTAGGTGCATCAAAAAAAGGGTGTTTTTTGTAATTATATGTTTTTTGGGATGTAGATTAAGAATCTGAAATCCATTTTTGGTGGTCGGCATCGGAAATTTTTAATGGAACCTGTTCCTAACTGGACCTAACCTGCAAGGTTTTCGTTGATTGGTAGGTTTTTCCGGCCGCCAGACCGGCCCGGATGGACTCCAAACATAGAAAAAACCTATTGGCTAGGTTTTGCTGGCTGCCAGACGGACTCCAAACATAGAAAAAAACCTAGCCCCCTTACAGCTTTTCAGTTGTGATTGGTTAATGGAATTGTAATGTTATCTGCTTTCTAGCTGTGATTGGTTGATGGGGAGGCTTTCCAGCTGTGATTGGTTAATGGAATTGTAATTGATGGGGATTGGGGAGGCTTTCCAGCTGTGATTGGTTAATGGAATTGTAATGTTATCTACTTTCTAGCTGTGATTGGTTGATGGGGAGGCTTTGCAGCTGTGATTGGGTAATGGAATTGTAATGTAATCTACTTTCTAGTTGTGATTGGTTGATAGAAGTGCTTTCCAGCTGTGATTGGCTAATGGAATTATAATGTTATCTACTTTCCAGCTGTGATTGGTTGATAGGGTGGCTTTCCAGCTGTGATTGGTTAATGGAATTGTAATGTTATCTACTTTCTAGCTGTGATTGGTCGATAGGGAGGCTTTCAAGCTGTGATAGGTTGTTCATTGTGCCCATAAGCCCTGCCCCCAAACATGGTATGTGTACTACAGTTCCTGGTTAACTTAATACATAACTTGAACATGATCATTACAAACAGAGCCTGGAAATTTTTAAAAAATTCATTAAATAAAAGAAAAATAAAAAAATATCTAACAAACAAGAGACATCCAAACAATTCTATAACAAAATTCGAGGTTCTATACAATTGAAAGTTTGTCCACTTTTGATCCTCCTTTTCATTTATAGTCTGTCACCTGGCACTGGCAGAGCACTGTATCTAAGGAAAGCTTTTCACCTTGGGTGGAAAGCTTTTTCATAAGAGAACTTCCATTCTTAGAATTCAAGCCTGGCAGCATAACAGCATTAACATACTACGTAACATACCAGGGTGCAGAGGGTGCAAAAACATCTGTAATTCTGGCCAATTTCACTTGTTCCTTTGGCTTTTTTCTTATTTCATCAAGAAAAAAAATAACTGTTTCCATCCATGCATAGTGCAATTTAATATGAAAGATTAGAAAGAATAGGGTCTTATGACATTTTGAACCAGTCAATGCGTCTTTCTGTTTATGGAGTGCTGCAAAACACCGTAGCACCTTTCCGAACAAAATATAGATGCTCTCTAAATGGACAAAAGAGGTGGGTTGGCAGCAAGCATCATGTCAGCAGCTTGCCTCGCTCATTGGCTCGGTAGTGAATTTTGAATTTGAAAGCAAAAGGCGTGGACAATGTGTTTTCAAGTCCATAGGAGCCTAAAAAATATGAAAAATTTACATTTCTGCATGGATTTCAGTGCTGTTAACATTGAGAAACTTCAAAGTATCTCTCATGCAAGGAATACTTGCTAAATAAATTTTAATTTGGATATAAACTTCACTTGAAAACTGAGCAATCCAACTTGGAGTGCTCAGTTTTGGAGTTCAACAAAATTTGAATTGGATCTGCCAATTTGAACTGGACTGAGTGAAAAATCTTGAGTAAAAATACCATTTTTCTTATATTTACTGGAAAAAAATTACCAAAAGACTAGATTCAAGTAGCATCGGCCCAATGTTTGATTCATATTTCATAAATAGTGGCTGTAAAAAAGGAAGCGCTTGTTTCTATTGATTTATATTGACATGATATTCTAATTAATNGTTTCTAGCTTATATTGTACATTTCAAGTAAATAGTTTAGATTGTAAAATTCCATATTTTCTGTTTTTATACCTTTAAGCTTCTAACTGCTATATAATCATAAAGTTTATTTTACTATTTCAGATAAATTGCTTGTTGTGCAAAGTATTTACTGGAATGGATAATAAGAAAATTTCTTCAATTTCATCTTCATCTGCTAAGAGTTTTGATGACGAGAGTGTTTCATCAAATGTTCATCAACACCATAATCAAATGGCTGCTCATTCTGGTGCTTCTGCCAGAGTTGCTGCTGCTTCCAATTCTGTTCCCACTCCAAATTGCTCTAGTTCTAACTTGACAACATCAAATTTCACTAACAATGCATTATTGACTGCTCCTGAACACTCTCAAGTGCATTCACTTTTCTATGAGGAGACTTCATCTTCAAATTCACATACTGAGTCAGTGCAAAGACTGCAAGCATCTTCTGTTGCTAATAATGCAGCAAGGCAGCCAGTGACTCAACAAGAGAATTTGACTTTAAATTCTCATAGGAAAAATTTATCTGCAATGCCAGTGCTAGATGTGTCATCAGCAGCAGCTATTGCCAACCAGTTTATAGATACTTGGGTGTCTGATCCCCATGCTGCAGGTATGTCATTTTCAGTGAAACATAATGAAGCATCTCAATTTGGTAATTCCAACTGTCCTATGAAATTGCAGTATGCCCCAAGTAACAAATTTATTCAGTCTAATTTGAGTGTTCCTGTTCATCCTATTGGGGCTTCAAAAAATGAGAGCACTTCCAGTATTTGGCATCAAGTGAGTGAGAAAAATTCCAGTGCTACATTACCTACATTGCAGAGCTTTGGTGCTTCTGTTGATAGTGCCACCAATCCTGAATTGTTACAAAGGCCTTTACCCACCTCTCCCATTTCATCTCATTCAGTTGTCAATGTCTCAGAGTTCAGTAATTCCTGCACTGATGCTAATCAACCCACTCAAACAGGAGACAAATCTACTAATCGCAAGAGCATTATTAAATCCAAAATGATTCAGGATGCTTTACCAAGACCAACAGGAAATTCAAATATTGCTGAATTTTCTAACAGTGTCATAGCATCTGCACCCTCCATGGACTCAATTATTAAGTCAATTTATGGTAATAATTTCACTTCATTCAATATTTCTGAAACATCTTGTGATAAAAATATTGACCAAAATACACAGAAGCAACTAAAAGTACCGACATCAAATCTTCATGCAATATCAGTCTCTAGATCAAATAAGCCAGGCAGCTCTTCATCTGAGCCTGTAAATCTGCATGCTTCTTGTTCAAATAGCATTCAAGTACCTTACAAAAGCCCTGAAAATTGTAGTGAATTGATCCTGCCTTGCACTGCTGTACCTTTTAGCACTTCAAGCTCAAGTAAAAGGTCTCAGTTGTATGAAACAAGCAACCCTTCTACATCAAGATTCATAAGCACTACAACATCAAGCAGCAGCACCCTACTACATAATTCTGCAGCTGGGTCCTCCTCAGTATCAGGATTCTCAGCAAGAACCAATTCAGACAAGTGTGCCCAAATTTTACAATTACAAAGGGATTCTCAAGGCACTAGTTTACCTAAAGAGGCAGAATTGCAAGTGTTTGACAAGAGAAGCTTTGGAACTGATCCATCTAGTCTCTCTGAACCTATAAACACAGCTGAACCAGTTGAAAAATTCTCTTCATTCAGTAATATGAACAAGGCAATCCCTGGCTTTTCAATTAAAGACAAAGCAAATGATTTTCACTCGTATAGTATTGCAGGACCATCCTCTGCCTATCAATCTCATGGTTCTCATGAATTAGAAAAAGTTACTTGTCCAAGATCAGGTGGTGAAAGCTCAAGATCAACTCGTCCAAATATGTTGAGGCACAATGTGTCTTGTGTTCCTCCAGCTTCCTCCAGTTCTTCAACCTCATCAAGATCAATATCTTCATCTCTGCATATGGGTCCCTCAACATCTGAAAGATCTCGGGCATTACACAATGCTTCCTCTCAACCAGCAAAGCCTGACATTCTGCAAATAGTTCCTCCAGCTTCCTCCAGTTCTTCAACCTCATCAAGATCAATATCTTCATCTTTGCATATGTGTCCCTCAACATCCGAAAGATCTGGGGCATTACACAATGCCTCCTCTCAACCAGCAAAGCCTGACATTCTGCAAATAGTTCCTCCAGCTTCTGATTCTTTTCCCAATAATGAAGTTGAAAGCAATGAAGCTTTTCCTGCAATGCTCATACAGCCTTGCATCAGGATTTCCTCTAACAATGCTATTCATTTGAGAGCTCTTTCCTCTGAGGATGAATGTCTAGTGTCATCATCAACAGAGCATGGGGTAGAGCCTGATGTTGATGCTTTAAATGCTCACATCACTCGCTCTCTACCTCTGTTAGATTCAACAGTTGATTCAACAGGAGATCCTATACCTTTAGACTGTCTCGACTCCCCTAATTCAGAATTTGCTCCAAGCCCAAGCACCAGTAATAGTCCAGGTGCTTATGAGCCTGAGAATAACCTTATACACTCTGTGCAATACGGGTCCAGTTCAGCCATTGCCATGAACTCTTTGAAGAACATTTATCTGACACCCTTCCCTTCAAAATCCTCTGATTTGTATTCCTCTTCTGATGAAGATGATGATCACATGTCCAAGTTTTCTTCATCTCGGCCTTTTATGTCTTCAATAAATAAATCCTCTGCTCAAAGCAGCTTGCAGTACCTGTATGACCACAAAAAGAATATTGAGCCTCCAAGCACAGGCAAGTCCATTGAACAAGTTGAAGATGCTGAGTCTCCAGGAGTTGCATGCTGTGATGACAGCATCGGAGAGATGGCCAGCTCCTACGAGCTGGGGCTTTCAGGAGGTTTGCCGCACAGCAGCCGTGATACGTTAACAAGAGGCAGCTCCCTCATACACTTGCCTGACCAAATCCTGGAACACGGCCACAATCTCTCACAGCCTACCACTCCTGCTGTAAGATTATTTAGAAAGTCATCTTTATTTAGAAGAGCTCAATTTTATTTATAATTTAGTAATAGCTCACCATATTTGGGGCTATTACAATTAAACTATATTATTATTGTAGATCTTTCATGTAACATTTCAGCCATCTTGATATTCTACTCATGAATAATGTTCTAAATTAAATTTTAGATATCAGCTTAGAAAGCAGAAATTCATCCAAAGTGTGGGTGGAGGTTACCTGAAAAATATTTACCTTGCAGGTGAATGATGATGGGCGCCCAAGCAGCTCTTCAACAGGTGTAGCAGCCATGGGTGTGCACTTCGAAAATTTCAGTTCTTTCTCTACAAGGACTAGTAAGGGATCGGACTGAAGTATACCTTATGTTTTATGTATTTATTATTTGTATTGACAGACTCCATGCCCTATTGTGTTATTATTTAGTAGAATTCCTACTTATTCATGGAATAGATCTCAAATCTCCTGTTGTGAAGTGCTTTACTCAAGTTCTTCATTATTTGTGCTTCTGATGATGCATTGATGCATAATTTCCAATTAGTTTCAGGAGTTCAGGTCAGGGGTGTATAATTATATTGGCTAATTTTTAATTCTTTCAGGTACCCCATCAGTGGCTGAATCAAGAAATGCTGAAACAAGCCCTGCCTCCACACAATCTGGAATGTTGACAAATAGTCTTTTTAGCGTCTCTCATGACGCTGTCACCTTTACAACTCCCAGCATTTCCACAGTCAATCGATCAGATCAACAATCTTCTGTCTCGCAACCTTCAAATCCTGCCACTTCATCACTTTTGATCAAAAAATCTTGTGGTCTTGGTGATGAAGAGAACATGATCGAGGGTCAGCCTGTGGATAATCATGCTTCATCAAGTCTGGAGTTTCCTAAAACCTATTCCCATGAGGCCAGATTTAAGCGCTTGTATGCGTCAATGAACCATAACTCAATTGGTCAGGACCCATTGGCTAAAGATTCACACGAGAAAAAAGCACGTTTGTCAAGAATCTCTAATGTTTCAACTGGAAGAACCCAAAATTTGTCTTCAGATTCATCTTCTCAGCTTGTAAGACAGCTTCCAGACACTCTTGGAATGGATCCTACTATAGAGAATAGAGCAGTTGCTTGTGGTTCACCCATTGATGGTTGTAAAATCAGCACGTCTTTTGAAGAAATGCTCACTGCCGGTTTGGATAATGAAACAGCTTATTCAGAACACCCGACTAACAGAGGCTGTGCAGCAAGTCCTCAAGCCAAGCAGCCTCTAACACGCTATCAAAATGTCAATGCAAGTCATTCTGTCTCAGATAGACAGTCCACCAACAGTTCCACTGCTACAATGCATGAAGAGAATCTACAATGTTCAAAGAAAAATCCAAAGAAACGAGATGTTTCTGAAGCTAATTCTTCAGACATGATTTCGTATTCTGTGTATGGAAAAGACGAAATTTTAAGGAAAAAATGTAATGGCTTCAATGAACTCAATAGTGGAATCTCACGTAAGCGTGNATTTGTGACAATCGCCAGGCAATTCAGTCAATCGTAAAGTATGTGTGCCTGTGTCGATCATGCAGCATTGGAGAGGGTTACACTTCCGTTTTTAGCAAGCATATTGGCAACTTTCTCCCCTGGCGTACTGGCGTACATCTGAAAACCAACCTCTGGCATACACACTGCACCTTCCTGACCATGGGGATGTAGATTGAGAATCTGAAATCCGTTTTTGGTGGTCGGCATTGGAAATTTTTAATGGAACCTGTTCCTAACTGGACCTAACCTGCAAGGTTTTTGTTGATTGGCTAGGTTTTTCCGGCCGCCGGACGGACTCCAAACATAGAAAAAAACCTAGGTAAAACTTTAGATTAAGTGCATAAAAAAAGGTGTTTTTTTTAATTATATGTTTTTTTGGGTGTACATTAAGAACCTGAAATCCGTTTTTGGCTGTTGGCATCGGGAAACCAATTTCCCCCCCCCCCTGAGGTTCTAATTCATCAAAAAAATCTGGCAAAAATCAGCAAAAAAACCTAACCTAACCGTGATTGCAATGTCGTGGTTGCAAGCTAAGTTCTGAGGTCACCGAGGCTAAGTTAAGAACGCTATAAATCCACGGATATTGGGGCCAAGATTTGACTTGCATTTTACCTTAGAAATTATATAAAAATTGGCATATATATAAATCGGTTTTCCGATGCCGACCGCCAAAAACGGATTTCAGATTCTTTATCTACACCCCAAAAAACCTAGAATTTAACAAAAAAGCACCCTTTTTTGGATGTTCTTGATCTAAAGTAATACCAAAACCTATTGGCTAGGTTTTCCGGCTGCCGGACGGACTTCAAAGCCCAAACATAGAAAAAACCAAGCCGATCAATGAAAACCTTGCAGGTTAGGTCCAGTTAGGAACAGGTTCCATTAAAAATTTCCGATGCCGATTGCCAAAAACAGATTTCAGATTCTTGATCTACATCCCAAAAGTCATATAATTAAAAAAAAACACCCTTTTTTGGATGCACTTGATCTAAAGTAATACCAAAAATTATGACAGTTTTAGCCTATAAACCTCTCTTAATCTTTGCAGTTGGCAATACAATTGCCTTTTTGCCAAACTCTGTGCAATGTGCATAGTGACCTTTTGCTTCTACTTCTAAAAGGTGAAAATTATGCGAAAATTGTGTTACCTGAGTAGGAAATTGGACAGTTAGACTGAAGGCGGCCCATAGTGGCAAACCAATGATTTTTTAGATCAGTTCATTTTTAATTTCCTCATTTACTCAAGATTTAGACCAATATCTTAATAAGATAGGTATTGGTTTAAATCCAGTGTGCAGAAAGTGGGTGAATATTGAAAGATATTTGGTGACGCATCTGCAGCTAAATTTACGCCTTCTGAAGATCTTGCCAACACATTTGGATTGAAATTATTGCATATGAAAAATAACTTCCAAATTACTGGAAATCTGAAAGACTCCAAGCGCACACAGTAAGGTTTCTGGTAAGCCGGAAGGAATAGGATGCAGTGAAGCTTGTCTGGAAATCAGTTATGTTGTGTGTAAGTATTATGGTGTGAGGATAGTAAGGGATATACTATCAAAGTTGCTTGCAGCACTTTCTTATTAAAAATTACCTGGCGATGGATCTTGAAAATGGCTGGCGACGCTTTGGGGGCCTTGCCCCAAAGCTGGGCGTCGCTCAAAAATCATATCTTGGCAACGCTGCTTGGCACTTGCAGATACCAGGGTGCAGAGGGTGCATGCCTTGCACCCTCTGCACCCTGGTATCTTGTATGATAATGCTGTTATGCTGCCAGGCTTGAATTCTAAGAATGTAAGTTCACTTATGAAAAAGCTTTACAGTTTACACCCAAGGTGAAAAGCTGTCCTTAGATACAGTGCTCTGCCAGGTGACGGACTATAAATGAAAAGGAGGATAAAAAGTGGACAAACTTTCAATTGTAATTTGTATAGAACCTCAGAATTGTTATAGAATTGTTTGGACGTCTCTTGTTTGATAGATATTTTTTATTTTTCTTTTATTTATTGGATTTTTGGAAAATTTCTAGGCCCTGTTTGTAATGATCATGTTCAAGTTAAGTATTAAGTTAACCAGTACTGTAGTACACATACCATATTTGGGGGCAGGGCTTATGGGCACAACATACAACCAATCACAGCTTGAAAGCATCCCTATCAACCAATCACAGCTAGAAAGCAGATAACATTACAATTCCATTAACCATTCACAGCTTGAAAGCCTCCCTATCAACCAATCACAGCTAGAAAGTAGATAACATTACAATTCCATTAACCAATCACAGCTGGAAAGCCTCCATCAACAACCAATCACAGCTAGAAAATCAGAATGCAGATAACATTACAATTCCATTAACCATTCACAGCTGGAAAGCCTCCATCAACAACCAATCACAGCTAGAACGCAGATAACATTACAATTCCATTAACCAATCACAGCTGGAAGGCCTCCCCATCAACCAATCACAGCTAGAAAGCAGATAACATTACAATTCCATTAACCAATCACTGCTGGAAGGCCTCCACATCAACCAATCACTGCTAAAATGCAGATAACATTACAATTCCATTAGCCAATCACAGCTGGAAGGCCTCCCCATCAACCAATCACAGCTAGAACGCAAATAACNGATTGAGGGTCTGCCTGTGAGTAATAACGCTTCATCAAGTCTGGAGTTTCCTGAAACACATTTCCATGAGGCCAGATTTAAGCGCTTGTATGCATCAGTGAACCAAAATTCAATTGCTCAGGGCCCATTGGCTATAGATTCACGTGAGAAAAAGGCACGTTTGTCAAGAATATCGAATGTTTCGACTGGAAGAACCCAGAATTCGGCATCAGATTCATCTTCTCAGCTTGTAAGACAGCTTCCAGACACTCTCGGAGTGTATCATACAATAGAGAATAGATCAGTTGCTTGTGGTTCACCTATTGACGGTTGTAAAATCGGCACGTCTTTTGAAGAAATTCTCACTGCCAGTTTGGATAATGAAACAGCTTATTCAGAACACCCGACTAACAGAGGCTGTGCAGCAAGTCCTCAAGTTAAGCAGCCTCTAACACGCTCTCAAAATGTCAATGCAAGTCATTCTGTCTCAGATAGACAGTCCACCAACAGTTCCACTGCTACAATGCATGAAGAGAATCTACAATATTCAAAGAAAAATCCAAAGAAACGAGATGTTTCTGAAGCTAATTCTTCAGACATGATTTCATATTCTGTGTGTGCAAAAGACGAAATTTTAAAGAAAAAATTTAATGGCTTCAATGAACTCAATTGTGGAATCTCACGTAAGCGTGGTGAGAAGTTTTTCTCTTCCATTCATAGCATTCCAGACGACGTTAACTTGAATCAAGACATTTTTGATGAAGCGCCTGCATTACCGAAATACCTTGACACTTCGCCGGAGAAAAAAGTTGACCTTGTGACCCCCGTGTGTGGAACTTCAACGCCCACGAATCTTATCAACTTTTCATCTGAATTTGTTGATTATGACGTTCATCCTATACAAAATAGTGACGTTGTGAACCACTCTTGCACTACTCCCGCGATGTGTGTTCGAGACGAGTCAATTGCCAGCGAGAAGAAATATCTAGAAATTTCAACAGAAAAGTGCAACTCGTCTTCTATCAGTCCACTTTCAGTCACGTTCAATTCTTCAAATTCTTTTCTCTCAACGCCCATAGAAACAGTCCCATCACAACAGGATGTAGGAGATTCAGTTTCTTTTCCTAGGAACCATGATCATGAGGCTATTCCTACCGTATTACTCATCACTAGCAATACCAAGGCAATCACCACATCTGATGTGATGACGCTGTCGGGACCACAAGCTTCATTGCAACCTCAATGCTCAACTTCGCATGATGAACCCATTATTTACTTCCCAGTTTCCAAACCTCAATGTTCAACATCTCACAATAATGAACCCATTAATCACTCCAATACTTTGGAATCTCAATGCTCAACTTCTCGTGATGAGCACATTATTTACTTCCCAGTTTCCAAACCTCAATGTTCAACATCTCACAATAATGAACCCAATAATCACTCCAATGCTTTGGAATCTCAATGTTCAACATCTCATGATGAGCACATTAAGTTCTCCAAAGCTTCAGAACCTCAATGTCTAACTACCTATGGCCAACCTGTTACGTATTCCACAGCTGGTGCCTCAGTGACCAATACTTTAGTGTACTATAGCGCTGCTCATCAGCCTCAGGAGCAGAGCACTGACCACAAACACCCGGCACCTAAAGGAAGTTCCTTAACTGATTCATCTGTATTCTGTAGCAATGGCAATTCAGACTTCCTTCTTGCATCTTCTTCAAACAAAAATGTAAACGTTGAGGACAAGCTAAGTACGACGTCTCTTGTTGGAAGCTACATTGAGACACTAGAAGCTATACAGCCAAGCATAGACTGCATCTCAAATACTCCCATCAAAACTTCAACGACTTTGGATGCTTCAAATGCCAGAACCGAAATATGTTCTGATATGGGAATATTACCTCGTCCCAGAGAAATGAATAGTCAGATCACTAATGACAAGCCACATGCTCAAGTGAGTAAATTGGCATTTAGTTTCATTTGTTCGCGCTTCAGTAGAATGTATTTCGCCAGGTTCCAGTTTCAACCTACTATTGCTGCTGAGGGTTAACTATTGATCCTCTCTAATTGGTAAAAAGTTGTATTTCTTGTTCCTTTGAATAATCCTCTAGTCTAAAATTTCTGAATTATTAAGGTGTTGAAGAGGTTAAACGCAACAGAATTAGTCCAGACTTTAATATCGTGGACAGCATTCTTCACCAAGCTGTGCTGCAGCATGAAACTTCGTGCAATTCTGGCTATCTTTGCAGCCCTTTAATGATGTACTAATTTCGTTAATAATAGCAGTTATAAACTACTTGACTCGTTGAGTTATGAAATTTATTATATTTGACATAACAAGACAATAGGGATGAAAAATTTATAAATTAAACATTTTTCTAAACAATTATTCAGGTTCAAAGCATATATTTCATCTTTTCCTAGGATAATGCTCTCAAAATAATTATTATGGCTGCATTCATCTTTAGAGTAGATGACGATTGTTTTTTTTACAGAAGTGCAGTGGTAATTCCGTTTAATTATCCCTATGTTACAGTCTCATAAGATAATCTTCTTTAAATAATTATTGTTTGTTGCGCAGAAGTCAGAGGCAGCGATGCGCCCGAGACTGAACAGTTCACATCCACGCAGACGCGCCGCCGCCGGAGGTTAGACATTCGCTTCATTTTTCAATGAGATTGCACATTTAAGGTTGACTTTTCTCATGAGATTGTCCTAGTTTCACTTTTCTCACGAGATCGCCGTATTAGTTTCTCTTTTCGTACGAGATCGCCGTATTAGTTTCACTTTTCTCACGAGATCGCAGTTTTAGTTTCACTTTTGTTATGAGATCGCCGTATCAGTTTCACTTTTCATATGAGATCGCCGTATTAGGTTCACTTTCCTAATGAGATCGCCGTATTAGTATTAATTATGTAGAAAAGTTTTCAATTCTCAGTTGCCTGCCTAAATTTCCATTGATTTAATATTGGTTAAACAATTCTGCGATAAATTGAAAAAAAGTCTGATGCCTGTTAATATTTAAAAATTGACACATCATGGAATGATGGGCTAGTCAAAATTTTTAATTAGGCCAAATATTAGTAGTATTACTTATTAGTTTTCTTTTATCAAATGTGTGCTGAGGATCTTCGATAGTTTCTCTAGGTTAGGATCATCGATCATTTTTCCTACAGAGCTGTAGGGTCAACATTTTTATTAGTTTAAAATCATCGATCATTTTTCCTACAGAGCTGTAGGGTCAACATTTTTATTGGTTTAAAATCATCGATCATTTTTCCTACAGAGCTGTAGGGTCAACATTTTTATTAATTACGAATGCAATCATCTTTAAAGTATATCACTATCAATATTTTTTACAGAAACACTCGTACAGTGATAATTCCGTTTAATTATCCCTATGTTATAGTCTCAAGATTACATTTTAATAATTATTGTTTGTTGCGCAGAAGTCAGAGGCAGCGGTGAGTCCGAGACTGAACAGTTCACATCCACGCAGACTCGGCGCAGCCGCAGGTTGGGCATTCGCTTCATTTTTCAATGAGATTGTACATATAAGGTTGATTTTTCTTGTAAGATAGCTGTATTAGTTTCACTTTTCTCGTGAGATTACTAATAATTAATTAATTAATAGAGAAACAAGTTTACAGAGCTCAGTTGCATGCCTAAATCTCCATTGATTCAATATTGGGGAAAACAAACTGCAACGAAATTACAAAAATCTCCATTTTTTACTGAACCCTGCTAATATTTTAAAATTGACACACCAATGAATGATGGGTTAGTTAACATTTATTATTAGATCAAAATATTAGTAGTATTACTTATTAATGTTCTTTTATCAGATGTGTGCTGAGGATCTTCGATAGTTTCTCTAGGTTAGGATCATCGATCATTTTTCCTACAGAGCTGTAGGGTCAACATTTTTATTCAGGATCATCGATCATTTTTCCTACAGAGCTGTTGGGTCAACATTTTTATTTAGGATCATCGATCATTTATCAACATTTTTATTGGTTTAAAATCATCGATCATTTTTCCTACAGAGCTGTAGGGTCAACATTTTTATTGGTTTAAAATCATCGATCATTTTTCCAGCAGAGCTGTAGGGTCAACATTTTGATTAGTTTAAAATCATCGATCCTTTTTCCTGTAGAGCTGTTGGGTCAACATTTTGATTAGGTTAAAATCATTGATCATTTTCAATGCAGATCTGTGGTGCAGCGAGTGCGAGAAGAGCGTGAGCGGCGCGTGCACCCGCCACGAGGTACACAGCGTCACTGACAGGACAGTGCAGAGCAGGGCCTGGGAGAGTCTGCCGTCTTCTTACTTGACCATCAGGAAAATAGGCTTTACTACTTCTGGTAACTTGAATTTATTACTTTTTATATCCTATTAATTTAGAAGACTTGCTTCTCTGTTTCTTGCGAAAAACAAACATCAGGAAAATAGGCTTTACTACTGCTGGTAACTTGAATTTATTACTTTTTATATCATATTTATTTAGAAGACTTGATTCTCTGTTTCTTGCGAAATATCTATTTAATCGTTATTCAATCTTAATATACCTATAACACAATTTTTATTGCTTGATCAAGCATTCAGGTTTTATGTCTGGTCATTTTCTTCTATATCCTTTTACCTACTTCTTGTCAGAACTTTGTTTGATAATTTTTTCTACTTATTATTTGTTTATGGTATATATTCTATTCTCTTCTTGTCCAACTTTTTTGTGTTAGCTATTTATATTTCCTTCACATTTTGCCGGAACGTTTTTACGTCAGTTTTAACGTTTTTGCGTCAGTTTTAACGTTTTTTACGTGAGTTTTCCACCATATTCCAGAATGTTACGGCGTGTTCTGCAAGCGTCGGCTGCAGCTACACACGCTGTTTGGGCCTCTGCAAGGCATCGCACGTGACCACGCTCCTGATAAATCATCAGGCGCTGCTGATAATACCCTGATACTGGCCGAAATAAATGGTGTTTCAATAAAGGATCAACAAGATAATGAACAGCGTGACACTAAACAGTTAATATGGCCTTTCACTGACGCCACAAACCAACTGAAGTTCTTGGATACTTCGGACCTAGGTAAGATAAAATTGTATTGTATATATATTCTATATAGCATACTAGGAAACTTGTGTAATATAATGTTGATTATGTTGTTTTAAGAAGATCTACTCGTAATTCACGTTGATATCTCTTGTTTGTTATGGTGTTACAACTACAGCTACGTATTATTCTGTATCTTAAAATAAACACAGACTGCAATTGAAAAATAAATGAGTAATATTGTACAAATGTTGACAAACTTTCTGCTTACAACGCTGGTACGTCCTTTTGCCGGGCAAAACTGGGTCAGGATGACTCACATCCGGGCAGCAAGTATATCGCTATTTGGACAGAGTCTCATTCATTTCTGAGTGTGTTCTTGTATGTTATTCATTTGATAATATGTGTTATTCTTCAGAACACAGCAACTGGATGCAGTTCGTGAGACCAGCTGAGAGCGTCAGTGCTGCCAACTGTCGCGTCGTGGAGCGTCACCCTGGCCACATCTTCTTCATCACCACCACGGAGCTGCCGCCCCATACTGAGCTCAGAGTCGCGTATGTATATTATAATTATAGTCTATGTGTGCCATATGTCTGCCATATATGTAATATATTGCATGATGAAATGGTTAATTTTCTAGAATTTTAGATAAATTTGTCCAGAAATAGCTGGGAAATTTTTAAGCTCTTTCCTTAAAAATTTGTAGGGAAATAGCTAGGAAATTTTATCCTAATGCCTTTGTAAAAAAACTGCTCAATAAGAAAAAACAATAATGGAAACTAATTCTGTTGTAAGAACTAATGTGTATTCCTTTAAATTATAAATAATCAAATGGTGTGAATCAATAGACTTTTTTTTTGCTACGTGACGGGTAATCTTCTTTATTTTTGTTGTCGACGAAAAAAGTGATTATAATCATTCCCTAGGCCTTTCACTAGAGACCAGGGCCTATACTTTCAAAAAAAGTTAAGAGATCGTAAGTTCATCAGCCAATCATTGACGGCCTTTCAAGCAAAATCCACCAATTATAGACAAGAAAATAGAGCGTAAGTACTTACGTTCACTTAGCGAGTTTTGAAAGTAGGGCCCTAGAACACATTGTTAACCATCCTGGTAATGTTTACAGATACTCGGAGCAGTACGCAGAGCGCTACAACTTGCCTCTCACAGGTCCATTAGCTCCTAATCTTCTCGGTGAGATTTGGACCAACCATTCATTTCCAGGATTTTAATTCATTTATTTAAATTTATTTCAATGATTTGAAATTAAATCCTATTAATCTGACCACGTTATTACAAATGTATATATTATAGTAATGACCGAACTTACGGATCTAATTTGTGAGATTGATAAAGAACATTTTTATTTTTAAGTTTGAATCTAGTTTAAATTTGAAATTTTAATTGAAATTTATAGCTATTAATTTCAATTTGTATAGGAATAAATCTAACTTATGGCACCATGAAGAAAGTGACAAGAAACCATAATAGTTTGCTTTTTAAAAACTAGATTCATATTTTTTCTGATCCCATGTCAATCTAGTTTTCTTTGGGTTTTAGCCTTAACCTAATAATGTGCAAACTTGGATTAAGATTTAAGTATAAGTTATCATATTAGCATATCTCGTTATCTCGTGTCTCGTTACTCTCATGCCTTTATTGTTAATGAATAGGCTCCATTAAAGTTATTTCTTACTAAGTTTGAATCTTGATTTGTATTCAACATATAATTCAAAACACAAGCTGGATTTTTATTTCGCGTATGAATACTCACATAACTGAACATTTTTACTGAATTTTCCTGCTTCAAATGTATTCTTGTCCCACACAATTGAACTTGACGTGCCTGTTCAGATGAAGGAACCGAGCTTGGCTGGCCGTGCTACGAGTGCGACGAGCGGTTCGCGTCTTCAGCAGAGCTACAGCAACATCTCGCATGTCATGATGAGGTCGGCAAATATTAGGTTCAGTTCGATGAAATTTCTGGGAAAATGAAGGCAATTCACCATTAAAAATATTGCTATTACTCGGTAAAATTTGTGCAATCCCCGGTAAAATTGATGCAATTACCTGTTAAAATTTGTGCAATTCCACAGTAGAATTTGTGCAATTAAAATTGAAATCGTTTGATCTGACCATTACTTGAATGATAACATATCTGCACGTACCGGTTATGTTTAATGTTGCCCATAAACAAATTATGTTATTCATTCTGATTTATAGTGACGAAACTATAAATCTTAGAATTATAGTTTCGTCTTAGACGAAACATGTCCTAGTATTGCGAATATGTATTCCTTGGTTGACCATAGAAATGCAATTAAGAACTATATTGTCTTGTGCGTTTCTGTCATATCCATGTAGGTATAGTTATATGTTCTTAGGGAATGACATTTATTCATGCATGGAAATTGGTTGATGATAACCCAATCTTTTCTGCCCATAGTATTTACCTCAACATTCGTATGCTACTGCTAATATCATAAAAGCTAACTGTAATGTTTATATGAATTCTCCTAACCAGGAATTTTCTTTATTTTAAGTATACCTGGTTATTTGTATTTATGAAATATTATATTTAATTATTTTCAAATATTTCTATTTCATTCAATAGCTTTGTTCCACTCAATATTGTACTCTTTTGAACAGATGTCGTGCAGCAACAAGAAGAAACCAAAAGGCAAACGCGGACGCAAGATGAAAAAAGCCATCACGCTATCTGACCTGACTGCTGTGAAAGTGAGAATTGAAATATAATGATAAATCTGTAAAAACTTTAGTAGAAACACAAAGCTTCAGGTAGCAGAAACCTCATAAGTAGCAGGGTGCAGCAAACTGATCAGCTGTATGATGCTTCGACCTTGTAAGCAGCAAGTTCAGGAATTATGCAGATTTTGTTCGCAATGTTCTTTATAGTTGATAAAAAGTACTTTCCTTATCCTGATTTTTGTGTTGCTCTACTGTACTTCTTGAATTTGATATATAATACTTGCTAGCACTCATACGGCAAGGCACTGATAGTTTCAGTAATTACTCTATAAATTACAACATTTTCTAACAATGATACACAATTTAGCACTGAAACTGTAAGGCACTGATACTTTCAGTAGGTATTCCATAAATTACGACAACATTTTCTAACAATGATACATGATATTTTTTAAATGATACATAGTTTATTTGATTATATGTAATTTATTGTAGGTCGACCATCCGATGACAGCCACAAGCGTGAGAAGCAGTGGAGCTATAACTTCCAGCAGCCTACACTTCTCTTCACTCAACAGGTGACATCCGTTATTCTTTATGATTTCTAAACTATCAAAAATTTCATCAATTCAAGTATTGCTGAGTAATTTTTAGTAATCTCACTTGAATTCAGGTTGCACAATTTTTACGAAGCAATTTATTGACGGAAAGCTGGTGTACAATATTATTGGCGTCTTCTTGGGTTGTATGTTTCTTAATGACTAAATATTAGATGGAAAACTGCGGATAAAGGCTTCACTTTTGTGTGGTTTTAATTTCTACATTTTGCCTACAGTGATTCTCTACTAGACCACACAGACTCAGGATCTCAACTTCGATGCCTCATCTGCAAGAAAGTGTTCACCAACCATCAAGTACGTGTCAGTCTAATCATTTGTTGTATAACTGTTCAATATTTGTTGTACAGTTTCGTTATTTTTAATACTGTGTTAGAATTGTTTACAGTTAAATTGTTTGTGATAGAACACTTGCATTATTTGGACCATTTCATCGGAGGTTCCAATATCTAAAGACTAAGTTTATGGGGTGCAGTTATTCTTAGTCTGAATAATTTGAATTCTGAGAAATTCGAATTACTGTAATTTTTGAGCAGTTTATCTGTTTGAGTTAACAAAAAGCGTATAATTTTGAACAATTCATTGCCAATATCTATGTATAGGTAATGAATGATATAACCGGGGGCTAAATACTATAAAACAAAATGAAAGGGCAGCTCTATATCTACTACACATGGCGTGGGCACAAGAATAAGAAAAAGGAATAATCTCAGCCAAATCTCCACTTAACACGTTGACTACATATTGGTACATATGCGTACCACGAAATGTATTTCTCCAGGAGGTAGTGGTACATAATTCAGGTTCCCTAAAATCGGCCAAATCCGGGAACAAAAAAGGCCGATAATTCAATGTATACTAATTTATTTGTAGGTTCCGCTATAAAAATTCCATTTATTTTCTTTTTGCAGTATTTAAAATTTAATTAGGAAGCACCCCTATCATAAATTTTAGCCGGCCAACGCAACTGAGAAAAACTAAATCACGAAATTTGTCCGGAAAAAAGAACCGCCGGCCGCCGGCAAACCCGCCTAAAAAAAAGAAAAAAAAAGAAAAAAATAGTACAAAATGAAGCAATCGTAGTCAACATGTTAAGAACGAAGGATACGAATTATATATTGCATTTGTTCACCGAGGTCTTAAAACCACAAAAACAATGTTTATTATTCACCTCCCCTCTTTGCCTGCAGGTCTTCACGTTGCATCGGTTAACGCATGGTCAACTGCAGCAGCAACAGCAGCTGCTGCTTCAACAGCATGAGGCATGCAGGTCCTGCCCTCAGTGTGGCGAAGAGCATGTAAATCTGCAGCGCCTCCTTCAGCATATCGACTCCCACGCTCTTCCTATTCCTCCTAGAGTGAGTGGTGTAACATTTTTACCTGTACATATAGTACCTATGCCTTTTTGTGATTAGTATTGTTTAAATTACATGAAAATTGTTGTTTTTAATGGCCTTTTCGAGTAAAAATATTTTATTTGATCCAATTAAGTTTTTATGTCTCACTACATTTTAAAGTGATTTTAAAGTTATAACCATTTGTAAATTTGATCTTTAAAAATTTATTGAACTTTTCATATTTAATTCGTGTTTTGGTTTCATTCAAGACGGTTGCCACGAAACGTGCTCGCTCCCAGTCCAGCAAACGAAGTGAAACTGTTCAGCAGACTACAAACGGTCTGGGTATGTCATCGTTCAGTTCTCCCTAAGTGTTCAGTAGTTTGTGGGCAACAACAAAGAACTTTGATTGCTCAATTCAGCATTTACAGAATCTATTCTGCCAGTTAACGGGCATACCAGTTGAATGTTTTTTTTTTTCACCTGATGCTAGGCTATAAGAACATTCATCATATCTGTCGAGATTACACAAGCCTAGAGCAAGTTTGTAACCTAGGTTTAATTTTAACTGTATTTAGATTTAGATGAAAAAATTTCAAATTTTTGAGGTTTGCAGAGGCTTTATGTATTTGCTGAACTTATGCAATTGGATATATGTTGAATTTAAATGAGCTTTTTTCAATTCAGACGCTCATTATGACGGCCCTGACAATGTGTAGGAAAAGGTTTAATCGGTTTGATTTGAAATTAATGAAATTCTGTGTGACAGACCGACCTTCAGACACCACCACAACTCGGTTCGAAACCCATTTTCCAAATTACTCCAGCTGTGACATCGCCCAAATTCGGCGATATGTACGAAGTTACTTTTTTCGGTGAAAACAGTGAATAGTTTAACTGTGAAGAGTTAATAGATATTCATCATCTAGAACCAGTTATACATATACCAAAAACCTGAATAATATTTTCATTGCATATAGCAATTCATTGTATAATTTTTGTAAGATATTTGTTGATAGGCTTACCAGAGTAAGTCAAAATTTGATATTCAGTTAGTAGAGATGATTTTCATTCATGCACTTTCAAAGCATTGGATTAATTTCCAAAAATTTAAGTTAAATTTACCGCAAATATTGAAATTGGCTTGAAACTTTTGAATTTCTTCTCGTTTTCTTGTCTCACCTGCTTCCTGATATTTTGTATAGATTGTATAGATACTTTTTCCCCACACAGAGCTTTGATTCTTTCAAGAAAGTGCGCCGGCACATCCGGGCGTATTGCTCTGCCGTGTACACCTGCACGGTCTGCGGCCGCGACCAGCCTTCTGCTGCCAAGCTCAAGTTCCACATGCTCACGTCGGTGTTTGCATAATTATACTCTTTGTATTTTGTCTCGTTATAACACATAAATTTTGTCTCATTTTTATGGGGTTTGAGTGAAATTTTTTACCTGGATTTCTTGTGTTAAATTCTGGTTTCGCATTTTTTATTTTTTGTTGTTTCGACTTACTTTAAAATTTAAATTTTTTTTATTTTTGTTGTGTCGGGTGTTACCTACTTTCGATTTCCTACATTTGTTTCTCTGTCTTCGTTTTGCATACACTTTTCCTCTGTCACTTTTTTCCTGATTTCGACGTATGTTTTTTAATTTTGTTTCTACTGCTTTTTAGCGCATTTTCTCAATTATGGAAAAAAAGGCGCTATTGTGCTCATCATGTCCGTCTGTCCGTCCGTGACTTCACGTTTTCGCCGACGAGAAAATGCGCTCTCTGTCACTCACTGCAATGAGCACTGAGTTATATTTTTTAAATCTGTGAAAAAATTAACTGAACAAACATAGATTTCCACATTCTCTTGTCTGCAGGCATTCAGACAGGCGAGACTTCAAGTGCCCCTCTTGTGGGAACGCCTTCAAGCGCAAGGACAAACTCAAGGATCATCAGAAAAGGATGCACTCAAAACCTACCGATGCGGTCCTCAGGGACGAGCAACACACAGAAAAGGTAGAGGTAAAACCACCAAGTACTTTCAACCGGCCGTACCATTGCAAGCTGTGCCAGTTGGGATTCAAGCGGCGTGGCATGCTAGTCAACCACCTGCTCAAGTGCCACCCTAAAGTCCCTCTGTGCTCCGTGCAAGAGCTTAACCAACCACTTCCCAACACCAAGCTCAATTACAAGTGCCCATACTGCCAGAAGGTGCGTACTTTTAGTAGGTATCCTGGAGTTGAAGGTTTGGGGACAATACTGAAGATTTGCGTGCAATACTTCAAATAATACTGGCATCATAATAGTTGGTAATGATAATATATAATTTCTAGTTAGTTATGTTTAGAAAAATTAGTTTTATCTATCAATTGAGTTCGTTCTCAAAATAGCTTCATGTACGTAATTACTCACTTTGCAAAAGTATAGTGATACTTTTCTTACAGTACTATCGCAGCAACGTGCGACGAAACCAACACATATCGAAGACCCACCCTGGCAAAGATACGGTGAAGCCAAATGCTGCTGTAGAGCTTGCACCGCCTGATGTGTCGGACTCCTCAGCTGACGGATGCGTTGCCAATGAAGCTTCCTACCGATACGCTGCCAAGTGCACGCTGTGCCAGCGAGAATACCTCACCAACGCCAAACTTTACCAGCACTTCCGAAGACACCACCCCGATGTGTGCTTGCCATCAAGAGTACCTGAAATAGCTGCTCTTGACCCTGGACATCGTGTAGGATTAACAGCGTCTGAAGAACTTGGCAGTGCTAACAGAAACGCTGTAAATTTGCCAACTAATAAGGGTTCTTTAAAAAAAGCTCGCGTGTCAAATGGTTCGTCCATTGAATTTGACTCGATGCCCACGCTAGCGTTGGCAAAGGGCTCAAATACAGGCACCAAAACGACTGACTTCAGTGATGGTATCAAATTTGATAAAGATTTGTTGACCGAAGCAATGTGTGCAATAGTGCCAGACATCAGCGCTCCAGGAGCGACGTCATCTCCTGCAATCGCGGTCAACTTGTCAAACGGTACCAGATCTTTTCCAGTGCAAATTTTAAACCCCTTAAAACTACCAAAAAGTGAGTATAATGAATCCATAATCATCAACTCTGGGGATTCATCGAGTTTAACCTCCAATCAAAGTTTCCGGACAGTAAGTTTGCCTCACCCAGAGAGCAGGGATTGTGAGCCAGTTTCTATTATCATGCCAAAATCTAATTTAAACGAAGTTATGACTGTCGATTTGTATTCTCTGGAAACAGGAGAAACGTACAGCCTCATCCTCCCTCCTGGCCATGTAATTAATGTCGCCCAGGGTGCGCTTGTAACAACTTCGAATTCTACACATTCCCTAGTGAGCGAAAAGCTTTAATTTCATCACGGTATAATATTTCCTTTTGATCAGTTCTCGTAACTCGCTATCTCTCTGTACACATCATATTTTATTGGTAATGTACATTTTGTGAACGGACGCAAAAATTGGTCGATATTTTTAAGCAAAATACTAACCCTAAGCTCTCATCCATTAACAAATTTTGTTCTTGTTCTTGTTATTAAGATTACGCAATTCTCTAAAATAAGGGCATTAAAAGAAAACCACTGATTACTTTTTTAATAGTGTGTTTTATTTTCTCTAGCTATAAAAAATTCATTTTGACTGAATTCATTCATTTTTGAGTGAACGAAAATCTCTCTTAAGTATCTGAACGAAAATCTCTCTTAAGTATCTAAACGAAAATCTCTCTTAAGTATCTAAACGAAAATCTCTCTTAAGTATCTAAACGAAAATCTCTCTTAAGTATCTAAACGAAAATCTCGTTTAGATACTTGAGCGCGGCGATGAAGCACTAATGAATAGATTTACAATGCAATCGTAATGCTGCCCAATGATAACTTTTGTATTCAATAAACAAAATATTACCGACCTGCAAATGATCTGGTGCACAGAATTCAGTTATAGCATTTGATTTCTAAAATTATGCATGATAAAATATCGTTCTGTTATATTGTTTGTTATATAATAAATGTTGGATCCAATTAATTATGTTCATAATTATTTATTATAAATTCTAATGATTATTATTATTTTTTACACCAATGGAAAGAGAAAGGTTCAAAGATTTTTTTACATCTTTATACATGTTGCAGTGTTTAAATGGATTTATAAGAATGCATGGCAAACATTTGAACAGTAGCCAAACTCATCCCACGCACGAGAAAATTCCGTTACTGAGTGTACAGTAACGGTGATATGGTTCTTCAGATCAACCAGAGTTACTGTTACAGGCGGGACATAAACAGCTTCATTGAAGTTACTACACAAGAAATGGTCACATGGGGTTACAGGTGATCAGAACCGTATCACTGCTGCGGTGCATTCCGTAACGTAAGATATGCTTTCTCGTATGTGCGACGATTTTGGATACCGTTTAGACGTTTGTCGTGCAACACAAGGAGGACATAATGAAAATGTATAGATATATATAAAAAATATAACTCGGTACTCAGTACTCACTGCAGTGAGTGACAGAGAGCGCATTTTCTCGATGCAGATAGCAACGTGAAGTCACAGACGGACGGACATGATGAGCACCTTCTTTCCATAAATGAGAAAATCCGCTAGAAACTGAATCTTTCCCCTCAGATAGGTGTATAAATTATTAACAATGAGTTCGTGCTTCAATAAATCAGATTTTATTAAAATTTATGCATCATTTAAAATAACCCTGTATATAGTTCCGTAACACGTGCTTGACTGAACTACTTTTTCAGTATGATACTTTGCTTCGATTTGAATTGCATCAGTTTAGTTATCATATTCAGAATTGAATTTGTCATTGCTTTGTTTATTGAAATTGGACTGGTCTTCAGAGGCCCCCGCAAATTTGAAAAAAAAAAGAAATTGCGGGTGACAGAAAATGTTCCAATTCTATGAAGCCTGACTGAGAAGATAAAGTCGTTACGCATGCGCAGTGATCGGTCGGTGCCAAGATGGCTGATAAGAAAGTGGAGACCATGGACGAAGAACATGAGCAATCTCCTTCTCCTGCCACTCCTGACTCTAGAAAGCGACCGTTAGACGCAGATTCGGAAAATGCCATGTCAAAGAAATCACATTATATTCCAGGTGAGTCTTGCGTTGAACGTTGGATCAACAACCTCAGTCAATTTGGTTGATTTAAGCAGCTATGGACCTATGGTAGCCTGTATGTGATTCGAGAATAAAAATCATTGCTTCTATTATAATTCCCGTTTTAAATTTTGGTACCTAATAGCTCATCATAATTTGTTGTTTACAAATTTAGAAAAAAAATAGTTTAAGCATTAATAGGATTTGCAAACTTTCAAGCTGAGCTGGTAGATATTTCAGACAAAAAGAGGACTTTTCCAGACTAGCATACATGTAGACTCAATGTAGGTAAGATTGTTTTAAATAGTGAATTAAGTGTTAAATAATTAGGGTAAGCACGGTACCTATATTCCGACATTTTAAGGATGGAGCAAGAAATGAATGGCTATAAAAAGATCACTGTATGCGCAACTCGAGTTCTGATTGCTTTAAGTCACTCTCAAAACACCACACTATGTGCCAGCAGGGTGGAATTCTAGAAATGGAAGTTCACTTATGAAAAAAGCTTTCCACCCAAGGTGGAATGCTTTTCTTAGATACAGTGCTCTGCCAAGCATAGTGACAAAGCAGAGAGTTTTTTAGACTCTCTTTCAAGTTCATTTTTGAGTCCCTATAAGTAGACCAGTAAAGTATCCTGGATACCAGCATTATCATACTTAAGAAATTGGCTTAAATCTCGAGTAAATGAGGAAATTAAGAATGGACTGATTCTACAAAAGCTCTGTTTTGCCACTATGCTGCCAAGTGCCAGCCCTGCCAGGTGACTGACTATAAATAAAAAGGAGGATTAAAAGTGGACAACAAGGTGGGATTCTAATAATCAGGCCGGCCCCTCTCGCGGCGCGGCCGTCGTGACGCTCACGGCAGCCGTGAGGGAGTGAGATGAGTGCAGCAAGCGGGGGAATCGACTATCGACTGGCATGCGGTTGTTCAACGACCAGATGACCTTGAGATAAATTTTACAACGACTCTTGTGCCACACTATGAGACCTGGGTTGTGATTGTGAAAAGTGACCAACTCTCAAATCAAGGTCAGACTAAATTAGGTATTCTTAGTCTGGTGACTGGTCAGTATTTCCCAATTAATCAGTTAATGGAATGATGAAATATTTGCCTCCCAGGGCCCAGGCTCCTTTATGGAGTCAATATCATACAATTTATGTCTTATGATATTGACAATCATATATGTAGGCTCTCTGGCTCTGTGTAAGATTGTTTTCAATAGTGAATTAAGTAGGTATTAAATAATTACTTCTTGTGCTATTACTGCTGTACTGAATTTTTTGACATTTTGCATTGGCAATTGCTATCCGTAGTGAAAAATTGGGCTGAAGCCACGGTTAGCCACCTGTAAATTATTCAATTATGCTTAGTGGCAAAGCAGAGATTTTTTAGAATCAATTCATTTTTAATTTCCTCATTTAGGGTAAACGCACCATATTCCAACAGTGATCAGGACTGACACTGTGACTGTGGGTAATTCTGACTCCCCTCAACTTTTTCCTTTATATCAAGCTTGGTCTTGGTTCCATGCCACCATGGTGGAATTCTGACAAGGGAGGTACTTATGGCGCTCCGGGGGGAGGGGGGGCGCTCCGCTGTCTCTTATACACATCTAGATGTGTATAAGAGACAGGTGTAGGATTAACNCCACTGCCCTACCTGCGCCAGGGTCAGTACCTGTTATATTAGGGCTTAAGAACCCCCAGGTAGCACGTACCCAGAGTTCGTTTTGAGGCAGCAAGGCCATGCTGAAAGCACCGCCCTCGATGGCTGCAGCTCCTCCTTTGTTTGCTAATAATAACGTTCTGAAAATTATTTTTCGGTCTTAAAAAATAAAAAAATAACATTATTCAAGGTTCACGCACTCTCTACGTGCATAAATGAATTACTTAGTGGACCCATTTTCCAAGTTACTCCAGCTGTGACATCGCCAAAATTCGGCGATATGTACGAAGTTACTTTTTTTCGGTGAAAACAGTGAATACTTAAACTGTGAAGAGTTAATATATAATCATCATCTAGAACCAGTTATACATGCACCAAAAACCTAAATAAAATTTTCATTGCATAAAGCAATTCATTGTATAATATTTGTAAGACATTTGTTGATAGGCTTACTAGAATAAGTCAAAATTTGATATGAAGTTTGTAGAGATGATTTTCATCCATGCACTTTCAAAGCATTGGATTTATTTCCGAAAATTTAAGTTACATTTACATCAAATATTGAAATTCTCATTTTATTGTCTCACATTGCTTCCTGATATTTTGTATAGATTGTATAGATACTTTTTCCCCACACAGAGCTTTGATTCTTTCAAGAAAGTGCGCCGGCACATCCGGGCGTATTGCTCTGCCGTGTACACCTGCACGGTCTGCGGCCGCGACCAGCCTTCTGCTGCCAAGCTCAAGTTCCACATGCTCACGTCGGTGTTTGCATAATTATACTCTTTGTATTTTGTCTCGTTATAACACATAAATTTTGTCTCATTTTTATGGGGTTTGAGTGAAATTTTTTACCTGGATTTCTTGTGTTAAATTCTGGTTTCGCATTTTTTATTTTTTGTTGTTTCGACTTACTTTAAAATTTAAATTTTTTTTATTTTTGTTGTGTCGGGTGTTACCTACTTTCGATTTCCTACATTTGTTTCTCTGTCTTCGTTTTGCATACACTTTTCCTCTGTCACTTTTTTCCTGATTTCGACGTATGTTTTTTAATTTTGTTTCTACTGCTTTTTAGCGCATTTTCTCAATTATGGAAAAAAAGGCGCTATTGTGCTCATCATGTCCGTCTGTCCGTCCGTGACTTCACGTTTTCGCCGACGAGAAAATGCGCTCTCTGTCACTCACTGCAATGAGCACTGAGTTATATTTTTTAAATCTGTGAAAAAATTAACTGAACAAACATAGATTTCCGCATTCTCTTGTCTGCAGGCATTCAGACAGGCGAGACTTCAAGTGCCCCTCTTGTGGGAACGCCTTCAAGCGCAAGGACAAGCTCAAGGATCATCAGAAAAGGATGCACTCAAAACCTACCGATGCGGTCCTCAGGGACGAGCAACACACAGAAAAGGTAGAGGTAAATTCGCTATATTATTATTAATTCTTCACGTACGAACATCGGTAAATAACAACCTCCAGTCCTCCCATGTTTAGCAGAAAAATTTCATTGTGATAAGTTTACTCCCTGTGATTCTGGTTTTGAGTTTCAGGCATTCCTGAAAGCACTGAAAAAGTAGCAAAAAGAATGCCGAAATTAACCAACACATAAACACCGTACTATGAATTCTAGTAAGTTCAGTAGTCAATAAATACAATAACAATACCTTTAGCCATGGAACTATAAATCATCAATTTCACAATTAACAATTTACATTTACCATTCTACTTAATGAATGCCCTGATCACATTCAAATCTCCACACTACATGGTAAGCGTAAAAGTGCTACCACATTAGCGACATGAGCAAGTTAACGGGAATTCTTCTTGCCATATTTTACAAACTGCTTAATAACTTGATTAGGTTCATTTAACTTGTTTACTTACCATCTGAAGTAGGCAACCCTCAAAAATCCAATTTTTTTTTTCTATTGTATTTTGATTTGTCAATTTGATTATATTGATGAATAATTTAGTTCAAATATTTAAAAATCTACTCATCTAGATTCTTGAATAACTCAATATAATTCAATATGATTGCAATCGGAAATATCGTCATGTTCGTTTGGATTAATGAGAATCACAGAATATGTTGTTAATTATCTTAGATACCGGCTCTAATGTTTTTTTTAAATCTTAGATACCAGCTCTTTTTTTTAATTATTACTCTTTTTAACATTTAAATCTTCAATCAAAGCTTCAGCAGTAATGACAAAACTTGCATGTGATAATAAAAGCTAAAATGCAATTTTCAGCACAATTAACATTCAAGTCTAAAACAGAACTATGGTCGTTTTTGCACTCAGGCTCCCCCAATGATACCACCAAGTACTTTCAACCGGCCGTACCATTGCAAGCTGTGCCA